GTAACCACGGGCCAACGGAGCCCAAGTCATATGAAAGTCACGTCTCGATGTTTGCTCGGATTGTTCGATAGGTTATATTAGTAATCGTCGTCATGCGAGTGTAACAAAAAACAGGAATTAGAATAGGGTGTAACCTTACACCATTACATCGAGAAATAACAATGACGACGATTCGAGGTAACAATTATTTTCTATCGATTGGACGTTGAGAAATTACCGACTAATGATGATCCCCAAAGCTGAAACTTGAAAGCCCCTTTTTTCTTGCCTTTCCAGGCGTTCCACACCTTCGACCGAGGGCTGGACCATTGGAAGCCAATCAAGCAGAGGCGGTTGTGGACCTTGCCCGTTTGCCACCCGCGGGATTGGGGTTCCCGATTGGCCAGTCGTCACGCCAGCCCCTCCTCGACGATTTATACAGCAAAAACGATCAAATCCAACGCAGCCACCTGTTTACAGATTGGTTAAGATCATGGCTCTCCTAGTGAAACTGGCGAATCAGTTCATACCTCCTGCAGTATGGAGTACTAAGTAATATGAGAAGTGTGGGTGCAGCTGTACTTTCTAGTAGGTAATACTGTAAATACCTAATCTCGAGTAATGGTAAGACCCCATTCTCATCTTGCTTATTTCCGCTCCAAATCATTTCTAGAAAACAATAGCGGACTCTACAGCGGGGGGTAATATACGTAGTCCAATTCATACACCAACCCACTATTTCCAATCCAGTCCTATATTGGAGTAGCTTGTAGGAGAGAACAAGCCTAGATTGCGAGCCAGAACAGAATGGAAAAGCTTGACAAAAGCGACTATAGGGCATACTCTGCAAGGGCAGGGGTATGAAAGGTCCACCTACCACTTGTCTCCCGGCGCATATGTACGAAAGTACCAATCTGTCTGCACATATATACGAGAGAAGCCTCTGACAAGAATTCACGTCCCAAAAGTCCGATCGAAGCTCTTTAACTTCGCCACTTTGGGGGATTTGGACAAGCTCAGACAAGAGAAGTAAAAAAATTTCAGCCACTGGTTCATCGCAAACACACTAGAAAAGGAAACTCGAGTGTTTATCGTTTTAGTCGCATTCGGTTCCATGGGTTCAAAACGGAGAGATCTCAGCAGCGATTATCGCCGTTCCGATATTTTTGGAAACTTTCAGCTGCATGGGTTGGCAGAAGTCGCATTACCGATGATAACATCACTTGACACGCTCTTCCCAACCCCTACCTAAATATATACCTATACTATATGGACACTATTACTAGTAGCATCCTCCCCTACCTCTTCCCGAGGTAGCCGTCTATGCCATATATAGATTTTCCCCTGTTTTCTCAGGTCTGCGCTCCGATGATTCATCATAAATACCGTAGATTTTATGCCTGTATTATTGTATACAGTATAGTAAGGTGGGGCAGGTGGACATGGTTTGAATGGATTAGAGTAGTCTCAAACCAATGAAATTATTGGGAAAGATACAAGGAACTGGGCACATGTGCAGCATCCATGGAACGGGACAAAGAGCATTATATTTATGTTATTGAAATGTATCTGGGTTTAAGAAGAAAAAAGAGTGAGAAAAAAGCAAAAAAGAGAAAAACCAAGGTAAGTTGGTTTTCTCAAGTCAAAAGTGGGGTCTGCTTTAATCCTCACTGGTCTGGTGCTACTACTAGTATATGCTAGCAGGTAAGATATGGTTTGGATTACTAGTGCTGTTGGCGTTCAATATCCTGGATGATTGTTGGTTGCAGGACGAGTTAGTAAGGTTTAAGGGAAGACCAATAACCCTTCAGTAATCAATCTTAATGCAACGGCCATGCGATCTAATCATACAGAAAAAGAACTGAAGTACACATTACTTCTTGTATTCACATCTACACAGTATCCGCACTGTCCGAGTACGCTGTAGAAGAATATCAATTGTCTCTAGGCGGAGAACAAGGCCCAGGTGGACACAAGGGCGATAGGACATCGTTGTTCTGAGAATATATATATCTAAACACATATCCGTTCGGAGCTCATAGGCTCCGATGCAATGTGTACATTCACCCCGCAGGGTTTACGGAGAGCTCGGGCAAAGGTTCTGTTCAAATTCCAGTGTACATACCGGTGACAAATGGTAAACAGTCGGCTTTCAATTTAAGGTGTGCACATATTTGACAGGAGCTCAGGAGCCGATAAGTCTCCCCCCGCTTTTTCCTTTCCTCCCTTTCAGATATGTTCTTAACTTCCTATACAGCCCGTGACGGGTCAGAAGGTTGCCTTTAGAGGTTAGCCCAGGCTGTCCGAAGACATCAAAAAGCTAATCTATTCTATAAATTCTCGGAGCTGTATATACTCCAAGCTAGAAGCCATGGTTCCTGCGAACGGAATAACGGTCACTATAGGTCTCCAAGCGTAGGAAGCATTTTCCAAGGAAGTTATTCATAGGCACCGGGAAGCTTTCCATTCCCGATATTGGGATATAGCTTCCAAGTTCTCGCATTACCTAATGAATGTATCAATATAGAAGAAAATAAATATGGTCTGTGGTTTTACGTCTTCTCTTCCACAAGCGCACTATTCTCTAAGCCGGTACATACGCAGGAGTCTGTGTTGCTAAATTTAACCAGCCAAGCCTGTCTTGATCCGGCCTTCCTTGTGTATGTCGCAGATGTCTTAATGTATAATTTTGTACTTCAATAATTGGCTATATATGTGCTACGCAGTGAAACTCCAGTGGCAAGGAAGAGTAAAACGTTTGAGAGCTCTACCCTTGTAGTTGATGGATTTGATGGTGGGTTGTCGGTGGCAATTCTAAACAATGTTCCAGATGATAGGCACCGACTCACGGACCCGCGAACCTACTCGGGACAAGTGCTCTCGATAATAGCACATAGGAACCTCTAAAAGACATTGATAGACAACGGCAGGAGATGGTTGCTGATAGCATCATTATTCTTCATACCATAAAAGAAACTTTCTATTTTGAGTACGAAGTAGATGGGTTGTCCACCCCCTACCAGTTAAGTTGGATTTCTTATTTTAATTTATCCCTCCCCTATCAATACACCCAGGGTCACCTTTGTTGGTTCAGGTACAGAAATGGACCCGTGGATAAAATGTTCTTTGTACCAGAGAACCTCCATCGGACGTACGTATGCGCAGTCAGAAGAACTGAATCATAATAAACAATGTGGCTGCCGGCCGCATAGCGACGCGTTCATGACACTTGCGACTAACAATCGTTGTCGTAGTGGCAGAATCAATTCAAGGTTGGAAGTGGAATGAATCCCTGCATTCCTCCCAGTAGAAAAACAGAAAAAAAAAAAAAGAAAAAGAGAAAAGAAGGAAAGCAAAAATACAATACGTCTTGTATTGGATTGTAGGTTATCCGCGTGGGGCCCATTCGCTGAGGCTGGTGGTGGATCTGGTTTCAGGGGGGCCGCCGCCGGCTTCCATGGATTCCGGACTGTCACAGCCAATGATGGCTTATCACTTCTCTACTAAAATTTGGCCTATTCAAAAAATCAAGTTCCTGCACTGGAATCAACGGTATGAGCCCAGTTTTGAAGGCGTTTGAGAGGAGGGTTGTGCCCCAAAGGTTTGTAAAAGGGAAATATTACAAATTGAAACACACTTTACAATACTATATCATCAAGTTTTTGAAGAGAAACATCTCCTTGGATTGTTGATAGTTTGAAGAGTGGAAGTGGTGAGGGGCGGGCCGAAAACAGAACAACCTCTACGTACCTGCGGTACGTAACCAACCCGGTACCGAAAGTGGTACCGTACATTCATACATGAATGGATGAGCAGGACTCGAACGTTGCGGATGCAATCGATGGAATATGCGTGTATGTAACTTCAACCTTAGCTCAGGGCGAGTAATTCTTCCAGTTGATAGAGTCTTAGCCACCAAAATGTATGGGCCAATGACTACAGGGGGCGGGAGGGCAATCCTGAGAAAGCTTCCAATCAGGAGAGGCTGGTGATGTGTCCAGATCATGGACGATTTGATAATTTAATGTCTGCTAATACCAGAGCGGTATCCAGGCGCCGGGTGCAGTAATACCAAGTAATGCGGTATGGTCCAGTCAGCGGTGCGGAGTAAATGCTTTTCCATCGAAATTGTATTCTATTGGGTGTAGTCTCTGTCCCGCGGACAGAATTGTGTATCACCTTACCAGACACGGAGAGAAGAGAAGGAGAGGGGAAACTTGTTGCCTCCCGGGAGGGTATAATGTGGGTACGTTTCCCCCCGATACAGGTAAGGTACGCAGAGGCAGGTACTGTCGCGAAGTAAATTGAGCAGATCCAGATCCCAAAATAACCACCGGGCCCCATACTCACCAGTATTTTTCCTATTCCCTACTGGGTTTCGGCTTGACAATCGATTCCCTTTTCACCACTAATCGTCCAACTCAAACACTATTCTCTCTTCTCCCCCCTTCGACCATCGCTTGGGATATTTCCTTTCCTTTCTCGTCCCTTCACTTCATCTTTGGGTTCCTGTTCACTCTTTTATTGATTTGCACCCAAGGAACGATTGTTGTTGTTTTTTGCTTTTTTTCGTTTCTTTTCACCTTTGCTTTATTTTTCACGAATCCTGTCTGAACTCCTATCTTTCTTTTCTCGCTCTCGCTTGAGAAAAAGAAGAGGGAGGTTCGTCCTAGGCTGAGACAGGTTCGGGGCCTAGTATCAGTCTAGGTTTTTAATCCGTCTTTGTATCGTCGCTCGATTTTCGTTGCCCTTCCATTCGTTTACCACAACACCTTAGTGACGACCATACGGCTCTTCAGCCTATCGAAAAGTGTGATTTAATCATTAATTGACAGACTGGTCGACTTCCAGCGTTAACGATCGGGGACTGGTGCCTCAAAGCAGCTCGTCGGCATTGAAAATTGTTCACGACGCGTCGCCTTTTATCCCGTTCTACTGCAGCTCTCGATCCTGAGAGTCCTGCTGATGCGAAAATACTGAAAATCGATCAATTTGAAACTTGGATGGGTTACTGTTAAGGTGAGTCGGATCATGGCACTCTTCGTGTTGATGGATTCACTTGCGTCCCAGGGGCTAAGCTTGTATTAGAACCAATCACAGCTCGGTTACACTCGCCTTTCAGCATGTCAGGCTACAATCAAGGCGGCCATTACGATGATGGCTACGCCCAACATGGTGGCCATGGGGATTCCTATTACCAGGATGAACATCATGGCCAGGCTTACTACGATCCCAACGACTATGGCGATGGTTACTATGATAGAGGGTACGTTAATAGTCCTAGTTCTTGCTGTAGCGAACCTGTAGCGGTAACTGACATGTGGCAGAGGATACTATGCCGATGGTGGACATGGTTACCAGCAGGACGGCGGGTACTATGACGCTGGCCACCAGGACGATTACTATGGCGAGCCCTACTATGACCAAGCGAACGGCCAGCAAAGAGGACGACGTCGCGGCGATTCGGAGGAAGACTCGGAGACGTTCAGTGATTTTACTATGAGATCCGAAACGGCACGTGCGGCGGACATGGACTACTACGGTCGCGGGGACGAACGCTACAACAGCTATGCCGACAGCCAGTATGGTGGACGTGGTGGATATGGCTACCGTCCGCCCTCCTCCCAGATCTCCTACGGAGGCAACCGGTCGTCCGGAGCGTCGACTCCCGTCTACGGCATGGACTACGGAAATGCTCTGCCTGCTGGTCAGCGATCCCGGGAGCCGTATCCGGCGTGGTCCTCTGATGCCCAAGTTCCTGTTTCCAAGGAGGAAATCGAGGACATTTTCCTCGACCTGGTCAACAAATTCGGTTTCCAAAGGGATAGTATGCGTAACATGTACGACCACCTCTTAACACAGCTAGACTCGCGTGCCTCCCGTATGACGCCAAACCAGGCACTCCTTTCTCTGCATGCCGACTACATCGGTGGTGATAATGCGAACTATCGTCGTTGGTACTTCGCGGCTCACCTTGATCTCGATGATGCTGTGGGCTTTGCCAACATGAAGTTGGGCAAGGCGGATCGAAAGACCAGAAAGGCCCGCAAAGCGGCCCAGAAAAAGGCGAAAGAGAACCCGGAGAATGTGGATGAGACTCTTGAAGCACTCGAGGGCGATAACAGTCTCGAAGCCGCCGAGTACCGGTGGAAGACCCGCATGAACCGCATGTCGCAGCACGACCGAGTCCGTCAAGTGGCCTTGTACTTGTTGTGCTGGGGCGAGGCTAATCAGGTCCGGTTCTTGCCCGAGTGTCTCTGTTTTATCTTCAAGTGCGCGGATGACTACTATAGTTCGCCAGAATGCCAGAACCGGGTTGAGCCCGTCGAGGAGTTTACTTACCTGAACGAAATCATCACTCCTCTTTACCAGTACTGCCGTGAGCAGGGCTATGAGATCTCCGACGGAAAATACGTGCGCAGAGAGAAGGATCACAACCAGATTATTGGTTACGATGACATGAACCAACTTTTCTGGTACCCCGAGGGCATCGAGCGAATTGTATTCGAAGACAAGACCCGCCTTGTTGACATTCCAACCGCTGAAAGATGGCTCAAGCTGAAGGAAGTCGATTGGAAGAAGGTGTTCTTCAAGACATACAGGGAAACCAGATCTTGGTTCCATATGATCACGAACTTCAACCGTATTTGGGTCATTCACTTGTGTTCTTTCTGGTTCTTCACCGCGTACAACGCCCCGACTCTATACACGAAAAACTACCAACAGCAGTTGAATAATAAGCCTCCCGGCTCTTACTACTGGTCTGCTGTTGGTTTCGGTGGTGCCCTGGCCTCTTTCATTCAGGTTTTGGCTACTATTTGTGAATGGATGTACGTCCCACGACGGTGGGCCGGTGCTCAGCACCTCACCAAGCGACTGATGTTCCTCCTGCTGATGTTCATCATCAACCTGGCCCCTGGTGTGGTTGTTTTCGGCTTCAAGAAGCAGATCGGTGAAACAATTGCCCTGGTCATTGGTATCGTTCACTTCATCATTGCTCTGGTGACCTTCTTCTTCTTTTCCGTCATGCCGCTTGGTGGTTTGTTCGGTAGCTACTTGAAGAAAAATGGTCGTCAATACGTTGCCAGTCAGACATTCACTGCCAGCTGGGCACGTCTCCAGGGCAATGACATGTGGATGTCCTACGGTCTTTGGGTTTGTGTTTTTGGAGCAAAATTGGCTGAGTCTTACTTCTTCTTGACTCTCTCCTTCAAGGATCCCATCCGTATTCTTTCTCCAATGCAGATCCAGCGGTGCTCTGGTGTCCAATACCTCGGAACTGTGCTGTGTTATCGTCAGCCGCAGATCTTGCTCGGCCTGATGTTCTTCATGGATTTGACCCTCTTCTTCCTGGATAGTTACCTCTGGTATATTATTTGCAACACCGTTTTCTCTGTTGCAAGGTCTTTCTACCTTGGTGTTTCTATCTGGTCCCCATGGAGAAACATCTTCTCTCGCCTCCCGAAGCGTATCTACTCCAAGGTTCTTGCCACCACGGACATGGAGATCAAGTACAAGCCAAAGGTTCTCATTTCACAAGTCTGGAACGCAATCATCATTTCCATGTATCGCGAACATCTGCTGGCTATTGACCATGTCCAGAAGCTCTTGTACCACCAAGTTCCTTCTGAACAAGAGGGTAAGCGGACTCTGCGTGCCCCAACTTTCTTCGTATCCCAGGAAGATCAATCTTTCAAGACCGAATTCTTCCCCCCGGGAAGCGAAGCTGAGCGCCGTATTTCCTTCTTCGCACAGTCCCTGTCTACTCCTATGCCCGAGCCCTTGCCTGTCGACAACATGCCCACTTTCACTGTCCTGATTCCCCACTACAGCGAGAAGATTCTCTTGTCGCTCCGTGAGATTATCCGTGAAGACGAACCTTACTCCCGTGTCACTCTGCTCGAGTACCTCAAGCAGCTGCACCCTCACGAGTGGGATTGTTTCGTCAAGGACACGAAGATCCTTGCAGATGAAACCTCTCAATTCAACGGTGAAATGGAGAAGACTGAGAAGGATGTCGCTAAGAGTAAGATCGACGATCTTCCGTTCTATTGCATTGGTTTCAAATCCGCTGCTCCAGAATATACTCTTCGTACCCGTATTTGGTCTTCCTTGCGTTCGCAAACACTCTACAGAACCATTTCCGGCTTTATGAACTACAGCCGCGCCATCAAGCTGCTTTATCGTGTTGAGAACCCGGAAGTCGTACAAATGTTCGGTGGTAACTCCGAAAAGCTGGAACGGGAACTGGAAAGAATGGCTCGTCGCAAGTTCAAGATCTGTGTTTCGATGCAGCGTTATGCCAAGTTCAACAAAGAAGAACGCGAAAACACTGAATTCCTTCTCCGTGCCTATCCCGACTTGCAAATTGCCTACCTTGATGAGGAAGCGCCAGAGAATGAAGGTGATGAGCCCCGCCTGTACTCGTCTTTGATTGACGGACACTGCGAACTACTCGAGAACGGAATGCGGAAGCCCAAGTTCAGGATTCAATTGTCTGGAAACCCCATTCTGGGAGATGGCAAGTCCGACAACCAGAACCACGCCATCATCTTCTACCGTGGTGAATACATTCAGGTCATTGACGCCAACCAGGACAACTACCTTGAAGAGTGCTTGAAGATTCGTAGCGTTCTTGCCGAGTTTGAGGAGTTGACAACTGACAACGTATCTCCGTACACGCCCGGTATCCCGTCATCGGACGTCAACCCTGTTGCTATCCTTGGTGCTCGTGAATACATTTTCTCCGAGAACGTTGGTGTCCTTGGTGATGTCGCCGCTAGTAAGGAACAAACATTCGGTACCCTCTTCGCCCGTACACTTGCCGAGATTGGTGGTAAGCTGCATTATGGTCACCCTGATTTCCTCAACGGTATCTTCATGTGCACCCGCGGTGGTATCTCGAAAGCTCAGAAGGGTCTTCACCTGAACGAAGATATCTATGCCGGTATGAATGCTATGGTCCGTGGTGGTCGTATCAAGCACTGTGAATACTTCCAGTGTGGTAAGGGTCGTGATCTTGGTTTTGGCTCTATTCTTAACTTCACTACTAAGATTGGTACTGGTATGGGCGAGCAAATGCTGTCTCGAGAGTATTATTATCTTGGCACACAGCTACCCCTCGATCGGTTTTTGTCCTTCTATTACGCGCATCCTGGTTTCCATCTTAACAATATGTTCATCATGCTTTCTGTGCAGATGTTCATGATCGTTCTGATCAATCTGGGAGCCCTGAAGCATGAGACCATCACTTGCAGGTACAACAAGAATTTGCCAATTACCGACCCCTTGCGCCCAACCTTCTGTGCCAACCTTGTACCTGTCATTGACTGGGTCAACCGCTGTGTCATTTCCATCTTCATCGTCTTCTTTATCTCTTTTGTCCCACTCGCGGTCCAAGAGCTTACAGAGAGAGGTGTTTGGCGCATGGCCACTCGTCTCGCAAAACATTTCGGCTCTTTCTCGTTCATGTTCGAAGTGTTTGTCTGCCAGATTTACGCCAATGCTGTTCATCAAAACCTGTCGTTTGGTGGTGCTCGTTATATCGGTACTGGCCGTGGTTTCGCGACCGCTCGTATTCCGTTTGGTGTGCTCTACTCACGTTTCGCTGGTCCTTCCATCTACGCCGGTGCGCGACTCTTGCTCATGCTCCTTTTCTCCACGTCTACCGTATGGAGTGCGGCTTTGATTTGGTTCTGGGTTTCGCTGCTTGCTCTTTGCATATCGCCCTTCCTTTTCAACCCTCATCAATTCGCTTGGCAAGACTTCTTCATTGACTACCGTGACTACCTTCGCTGGCTCTCTCGCGGTAACTCACGGTCTCACGCGTCTTCTTGGATCGCTTTCTGCCGACTGTCTCGTACTCGCATTACGGGTTACAAGCGGAAGCTCCTCGGCGTTCCGTCTGAAAAGGGATCTGGTGATGTCCCCAGAGCTCGTATTACGAACATCTTTTTCAGCGAAATCGTCGCACCCTTAGTTTTGGTTGGTGTTACCTTGATTCCATACCTATTCATCAACTCTAGAACTGGCACCATGGAGGACGACAAGTCCCCGAAGAATGCTATTGCCCGAATTGCGATTGTGGCTTTTGGTCCCATCGCTATCAACGCTGGTGTTGCTGGCATGTTCTTCGGTATGGCATGCTGTATGGGTCCAATCTTTAGCATGTGCTGCAAGAAGTTCGGTGCCGTACTGGCCGCCATCGCGCACGCAATCGCTGTCATCATCCTGCTCGTTATCTTCGAGGTCATGTTCTTCCTCGAGGGTTGGTCTTGGCCTAGGTGTGTCTTGGGTATGATCTCGGCGGCTGCAATTCAACGTTTCGTGTACAAGCTTATCATCTCACTTGCCTTGACTCGTGAGTTCAAGCACGACCAATCTAACATCGCCTGGTGGACTGGAAAGTGGTACAACATGGGCTGGCACTCACTGTCCCAGCCTGGTCGTGAATTCCTGTGCAAGATCACAGAGCTCGGCTATTTCGCTGCTGATTTCGTTCTTGGTCATCTGATTCTCTTTATCATGTTGCCTGCTCTCTGTGTTCCTTACATTGATAAGTTCCACTCCGTTATTCTTTTCTGGCTGCGCCCAAGGTATGTTGGACCTTCTCAAACCCCCTAATTGCGCTCGTTTTCTGACTTGAACCTTAGTCGTCAAATCCGGCCTCCGATCTACTCTTTGAAGCAGTCGAAGCTTCGTAAGAGAAGAGTGGTTCGCTTCGCGGTCCTCTATTTTGCGATGCTGCTCCTCTTCCTCATCCTTCTTATCGCACCGTTGGTCGTTCGCAAGTTGAACATTAGCCTGCCCAGCATCCCACTGGATCTCTTACAACCGCTTGACGCGCAACACAACAATACCATCACTAGCTATACCGGCTATGGACTTCCGAATGGCGACAGCGGAATCCCGCCGTCGGTTTTGGCTTCCGCTACGTACAAGCGGTAGGATCGCTTTCTGAAATTACACGTTGCTGCCTTCTTTCTAGTTTGGGAACGCATTCATGAAAATGAGCTGTATAAAGTATCCAGCGCCTTGAAGTGGCTGCGGTGTCATTTGCTTTTGCCACAATCTTTCTTCTAAAGCTTTGCGCGCGCAGCTCTGTTGCCGCCTAAGTTTAATGCATTATACTTGTTCCATTGTTTTCTGTATTCTCACGGTGTTGTGTGTTTCATGTGCGATCATTAGACTTGCGAATTGCTGTATTGTTCCCTTTGTGGCCTACCAAACATTTATCCTTCATTCTATATCCAGTTACACCTGTTTCTGTCACAGGACGTTCTTCTCGTATGTCTTCTCGCGCTGGGCACACAGTACTACGTAAACGTAGAATACCTTGATTTGCACGTACTATCGCCTAATGCGGTGGCATCACGTAAGCTTTGGGAGCGGAACGACAGCCTGGGAGTATTCTCACTTGTTCCAGAGTCCTTGTGACGATAATCTCATTTGAATGCTGGCCTTCGACGATGTATGGATGTATATCGGGGCTGGCTACCCTCACGTGCGCGGCCTCGGGGTTTCCTTCCCGCTGGTGCCTTGCGGGAAGGGCCAATGCGATTTCCGATAAATCCATAGCATCACGTGCTTCCCGTGTTTGACCATCCAGCCCGGCCGTAACAACTCCCTCAAGACGGTCATCGTCGTGAATTCGTCAGTCAATGCTCGGCTTTGATCGCGAAGCTCTTATACCTCCCTTCCGACCCCCGCTTTTTCGCCCTTTTGCGCTGCGAGCGCCGTGTTACCTTTTCCATCATGGATATCCAGGAGACCCAACGTCTCCTTTCGGAGTATCTCCATGAGCTTGCAGACCTCTTCCATCGCGTTCCGGGTTCCGCGATCTTTCTTCGCTACGTCAAATCCAGCTATCAAAATGATCCCATTCGTTCTGCGGTTGAGCTCTTTCTATTCCTATTCGCGGTTCGCTATTTGCTTGCTCCCAAGTATTCGACCAAACCTGGAGTGGTCCAACTCTCAGAGGATGAGATCGACGACTTGGTAGACGAGTGGACTCCTGAACCACTTGTAGGAAAACCCACAGTCTTGGAGGAGATGGAGGTCGATAAGCGGACAGTAATTGTTGGGTAACTCTCCTCTCACAAACCCTTGCTACTGGACGTCCTGTTGTACTTGTCAATGCTGATTGATCATCGCGGCTTGTAGTCCAGTCGGCCCCAAGTCGAAACTGGCCAATGGCAGAACCGTCGTTAACCTTGGCTCCTATAACTTCTACAATTTTAACACCAACGAGTCGCTCAAAGAGAAAGCTATTCAGACTCTCCGCAATTACGGCGTTGGTCCTTGTGGCCCCCGAGGATTTTACGGCACTCAAGATGTTCATATGAAGACGGAGGCGGACGTTGCCTCGTTCCTGGGTACCGCATCATGTATCATCTACTCCCAGGCCTTTTCCACCATCTCAAGTGTTATCCCCGCGTTCTCGAAACGTGGAGACATCATTGTTGCGGATAAGGGCGTTAATTTTGCTATCCGGAAGGGCATTCAGATCTCCCGTAGCATGGTTCGATGGTATGAACATAACGACATGGAGGATCTGGAAAGAGTCCTTGCCAAGGTTACCAAAGAACAAGCCAGAAAACCACTCACGAGACGTTTCATCATCACGGAAGGTTTGTTTGAATCATACGGTGATATGGTTGACCTGCCCAAGATCGTACGTCCATCCAAGCCTTTTACACATCATAGTAAACCCGACCGCTAATAAGGATTCTAGATTGAGCTCAAACTGAAGTACAAGTTCCGACTCATCCTCGACGAATCGTGGTCGTTCGGCGTCCTCGGAAGGACCGGTCGTGGTGTTACGGAGCATCAAAATGTGGACGCGGCCGAAGTTGACATGATCGTGGGCTCGCTGGCCGGCCCCTTGGTTGCGGGTGGAGGCTTCTGCGCTGGTTCGGAGGAGATCGTTCATCATCAGCGCATTTCCGCCGCTGCTTACACATTCTCCGCGGCACTGCCTGCTCTTCTGTCGACAACTGCCAGTGCCACAATTAATATCCTTCAGAATAGCCCTGAAACGATATCCCAGCTGCGGGAGCATACCAAGGCCATGTGGGCACAGCTTGACCCCCGTAGTGACTGGGTATACTGTACTAGTGCTCCCGAGAATCCTATCATGATTTTGGCCCTTAAGCCTGAAGTGGTTGCTGCTAAGAGACTGTCGGTTGAAGACCAGCAATTTCTGCTGCAGGATGTGGTGGATGAGGTACGGGTTTCTCAGCGACTTTGGTATCTTGTTAATTGCTAACCTGTACGACGCAGTGCCTTGCAAATGGTGTCCTAATCACCCGCCTCAAGACCCTCCTAGATAACTTTGAGCCGAAGCAGGTCGTTTACCCAGCATTGAAGGTCTGCGTGACGACCGGCTTGACGAAGAAGGAGATCGAGAAAGCTGGAACCATTATCCGTCATGCTATCACGAAAGTACTGAGCAAAAAGAAGTAATCCTTACGTTTTCCAGCTTTTGAAGGACTCGGCCACGAAAATTGATGCCCTCTCAATCCATTACGCCATGCATTGTTTGTCATATTCACACCTTGTACAATTTTTTTTTAACCCTGGTTTGTACAGCATACCTTCGAAGTGGACAACATGCTTGCCACAACTGGTTCACGGAAATCGGGATGGGGCCACTTAGGGGATATCCAGCATGATTCAGGAACCCTCGTCTCTTCTACCTTGATGAGATACTTCCCCAATCCTTGGCCCCTTACTAATATTTTGCCCCCCTTCATTCCTTCCAAGACTTCTGTCTCAGATTGACAGGCCGTTATTAGACTTCTACCTTGTTATAATATTAATTCCATTCTTATGCATTATCTTCATCAGTTCCCCTTTTCATTGCATAGCGGACGCCACACAGTCACTACAAGAACATAGGGACCATAAGAGCCTTGGCCTCTGCCTCACATACTATTGATTAGAATCTTCTCAACTCGGAGAACGCAATCCATTTGAGTGAAGAGACCTGGACTGCCATGCATTCCTGGAGTATACCCCCGGCGGGGTTTGATTCATGTAGGGCAAGGGGCCAGCCAGCATTCCAGATATCTAGCACCCATCTGCCTATTACATTCTCACCCAACACAGGAATGAGGCGATAGTCCCGAGAACATCTCAAATATTCACCAGCCACTGCCCAGTGAATGTCGGTGGAACAATTCATTCCAGGGTCGACTGTCCCACTCATCCTTCACTCAATGGCTCTTCTTGCACTTATTAGGTGATTATGTACCTGTGTCTTTCTGCTGATCTCAGGGTCGAAATGCTCTCATAGTCGGCTGCCTCCTTCTATCATCCGATACTTTCTGGACCAGGTCACCGCACGGCCTCCATCCGAAAAGATTCCTTGATCCAAGGTGCAATTTCAATCGCCATGAAGTGGCTTGTATGCGTCCTTGCTGTGTTCCTGCTCAGTTTTCAAGCCCAGGCGCTTCCTCATGGTATGTTGCACCGTGCTACCTGAGAAGAGAAACTGTTCGACAGAATGCGTTACTCTCTCTAGTGAAGGGTTCTACAAGCTGATCCACCGATTGCCAGAAAGCCTAGACCAGAATGATCCAGCACCAACTCCAGGAGACCCAGACAACCCCGTCAATGGCCATCCCAACAACCTCCCACCCTTGCTACCACTACCTGATCCAGCCACACACGATCTAGTACCCAGTCTCCCAGTAGAAGGCGGATACGGCATCTCCTACGCCCCATACAACGACGACGGCACCTGCCGATCGCTCGACGGAATCAATAAAGACCTGGACAGAATAAGCCCATATTACAGCTACGTCCGTATCTACGGCGTCGACTGCGATCAGACCAGAAATGTCGTATCTGCAGCCCGCCAGCGCAACCTCCGTGTCTTCGCTGGCGTCTTTGACTTGCAGAACTTCCCAAACAGCCTCGACCAAATCATCTGGGCAGCAGCAGGCGACTGGTCCACCTTCCACACAATCAGCATCGGAAATGAACTGGTCAACAAAGGCCAAAATCCACAAGACGTAGTAAATGCCGTGCACACCGCACGCGCCAAACTCCGCGCAGCAGGCTACCAAGGCCCAGTCGTAACAGTGGACACGTTCTCCGTCCTTCTCAAACACCCCCAACTCTGCGAAGCGTCCGATTACTGCGCAGCCAACTGCCATGCATTCTTCGACGCGAACCAAATTCCCGACAACGCGGGACAATACGTCCTCGAACAAGCGAACCGTATATCGGCCGCAGCGGGCGGGAAACGCACCGTGATTGCTGAATCCGGCTGGCCGTACCGTGGTGAAGCAAATGGGAAAGCAGTTCCCTCTACCTGGAATCAGGCGATCGCTATATATGCCCTGGGGTACTCTTTCCGGGATCGAAAGGAGGACATGGTGCTTTTCTCGGCCTTCGATGACTTCTGGAAACAGGATGGCCCAGGGACTCACAACGCCGAGAAATTCTGGGGTATCATGAGGCGTTGAGCGCTTCTGTTCGTCTCTACTATTCTCTCATTCCTGAGTGTCTCAGGTTTCCTACCATGTGTCGTGGGATGGTTGACATTGGTTGCGCTGGGCGTAGTCTTTGATCTTTCTCTCGCCACGGTTTTCTCTTCCTTTCCTGGTATCTACTTGTCTTTCTGTCATGTGCTGTGCAACGTACACGTGCATTTATGCTGTACATATAAGGATTTATTCAAGCCTTACCATGAAGAACGAGCATAGCGATGGAGTGCCTTTACTGTATTAGCATGCGAAAATAGAGCTCGTAAGGGGTTTGAGTGGATGTTGATGCAGGTACTTGCAGACTGAAGTTGTCCATGCTAGGCTCAACAGTACCATGTACTAAGCACTGAACGTATAGCCAAGTGTTTATTCACAGTCTAAGTAGCACATTCCCTTACCCAGTCTCTGAGAATAACCTGATACATCTCAGAGTCTTCTCGGATCATGGAGTGAGTGAGTTCGCCTCTACAGAAGCGTGTCAGAAGATTCTTAATCTTTCCACTTTGAGAATTATACTTGATCTGGAGATGTGGCCCTGGGATATGAGGGTTGATGATCATGGCCAGGTGAGAGTCACGAGAAGAGTCTACGAGGTGTCGCGTCCAGGTTTCAATGGGGAGAACCGTTGGTATAATAGAAGGTTATGCCAGGGCCCGCTCATGAATGCTCTACGTCAGAATCTTTTACAGCAATCAATGATCAGCTAGCTGCTATGGGTATTGAAGTTTATCCGTGACAAAGCTTTTAGTACACTATATGAACTCCCCGAGTCTCAACGGGTTGTTTTCTATTCCTCGCTCATCTACGGTGTCATTGCAAGAGTCCTTTACTAATGCCTACCGTTGCTAACTATCGGTTGGCAGATGCTATAGTCGACGGCTGTCCACCCCTTACCCACCCCATCAAGGCCTCACTTATAGACCAGAAACCAGCAAGGAAATTTGCAAAACCAGTGGACATACAATCATGGATTCGTTTCAACGAAGGATTGGTACCCTTAGCTGTCTTATGAACACGACTAAATTTCCCCAGAATAACTATCCTTATGCAGCAGAAGCTGAGGGATGGGAGGTTATCAGATTGATTTCCAAATTAATCTGATCATTAGGGCTAAGGTATGGTCCTCACATGACTGTACACTGTTGCGCTCCCACTTCTGCACTGCTTTTCGGCCAAAGTAATGCAGATTTGGGAAGGGTCCGGGATTGAGTCATCGTGGTTGGATCATTCTGCATGATTACAACCGCTCGTTAGTAGAAGTACTAGCAGGGATCTCTGTTGAACTGTTTCTGACTCAGTTAACCTGGCTATCCTCATGTCGGCCAGGGTCATCACAATGGTTGGAGCTCTACCAAGCAAAATTGGAGACGCTAACTAGACATGGTGAATCCGGGCGGTTCCTCCGCCGTGATCCACTGTTCTCCACATCAATCATAATAGGTTAGGGGGTGTTTTTCTTTGTCGCTTGGAACCTTTACCGATGATTGACAGTATATGTGGTTCTTGAGAACAAAGACACAGGTTGTCTCGGAGCAACCACATTGACATATCTACGTATATCTATACATCTATACTTGGTAGATTGGAATTAGATTGAATCAGTGAAATGTTGATTGGTATATACAATATAATGCCTGTCATTAAATTTAAGTTAGTTCAAAGCTTAATCTTGGACAGACGGACCCACCCTCGATGTACATCCACTGTACAGTAAGTACATAGTAACTTGTACGGACCACTAAATCCTGAGGCAGTCGGGTCACTGAGGAATAGTAAAATAAAGCAAGATATTAGGTCTTGGATGAAAGACTGCGCCAATCAGAGGTTAGTCTGAAAAAGAAAGGTAGATATATGCTCAGCTCGACCAAGTGTTGTACACCACCAGTCCATAAAGGACTGGGGATATTGGTTCGGTAAATGTGGCGTACCTGGGATTGCAGTCCTACCAAGTCAATGAGTCACTTAACCATTGACTCACCAACCTCCTAACATTTCTTTGTTAAGGGATATTGCTATATACACCTGAGATATCACAGGAGTGGTTCGAGACAAGCAATTGATCCATCGCGAATAGCCCTGACGGCATCTGACATGGCCGGAGAACACCGAATCGACGACAGAATGACGGCACAGACGGACGGGGAAAAGGATACAGACACAGATGCCGGTGGTGAATTGGACGAGCTTGGTGGGACTGCACAAGCCGCCCTGAGTGAGTCGAGCGCTGTAAAGAAGCGACGTCTTGTGGTGGTAATTGGTAGCCTCTGGGTCAGTTTCCTCTCATCAAGTCTGCCTCAAGTGTGCTGACAGCTGAAAAGCTCGGAACTCTGCTTATGGCACTCGGTATGTCATCGTATGCATCAGTTGTACTACCTCTTCCACTGACCAAAACCAAACACTAAGACGAAACCATGATCGCCACCATCGCAACACCTATTGCCAGCTCTCTATCGGCAACGTCGAGCTTTTCATGGATCACCACGGCCTATGTCATCGGCAGCACCGTGTCACAGGCTATTGGCGGGCACCTGGCGAACGTGTTCGGGCGCCGCAAGGCTCTGGCCGGGAACTATTCTCTCTTTGCTCTGGGTACACTGTTCTGCGGCCTGGCAATGTCGCATCTCCGGCTGTTCTTGGTTGGCCGTGTCTTACAGGGCATTGGCGGCGGCGCCATCGCCTCGATTACATCAGTAGTCGAGACGGATCTGATTCCCATCCACCACCGCGCCCTCATTGAGGCTTTGCCAATGTGCTCTATGGCATTGTCATGGCTCTCGGGGGGTTATATGGAGCTGCCATCCATGCCGCCATCGGATGGCGATGGGCCTTCTTGATCCAGGTGCCTGTTATCGTTCTCGATGGCGCCGTCGTCTTTCGGTACGTCAAGATCTCAGACCAACGCGCCAACACGGCTGCCCACCGGCGCCTCGACGTCGTTGGCATGACCACCCTGGTTGCCACAATAGTGCTGCTGCAGTTCGGACTTAACCACGGCAGCACCACCCTCGTATGGACCGACCCCGCCACCATCGCCCCCTTGTGCCTGGTTGTTCCCTGCCTCGCCGTGTTCCTATATACCACATACCACACCGAGAGCCCGGTGGTGCCGCTAAAGGCTCTGATGCAACGCAGCGTCGGCCTCATCCAGATAACCGCCTTTTTCAGCACCGGCTGTTTCGTCAGCTCCATGTTCTACGTCCCTCTCTACCTGGAGGTTCTGGGCCTGTCTGTTTTCGACGCCGCACTGCGACTCATCCCCCTAGCCGCTGCCTTCGGGGCCTGTGCTGGCGCCGTGGGCTATCTCGTCCTCCGTATCCGCCGATACTACCATCTAAACATCCTCCTCTTATCCACCGCCGCAATCGCCTACGGCCTCCTCTGTTCACTGCGTCCAGACTCATCTCCCTGGAAGCCATACCTCTTCCTCGGCATCGTCGGCATCGGCGTCGGTGGAACATACGTGACCAATCTGATGGGAATCCTCACATCCGTCCGCGAGGAGAACATGGCAACCGTGCAGAGCGCATCATGGGCCGTCCGCTCCACAGACGTAGTGATCGGCTTGACGATATCGTCGGCCATATTCCAAATGAAAGTGCGCCAAGCTGTTGGCCAACTAGACAACACGATTGGCTTGGGTGCGGTGGCTGTTCAACATCTCCCGGGCGAAGAGAGAGAGCATTCCGTAAATGCGTATATGGGTGCCCTGCGGTATGTTTTCTATTCTCTTCTGGCGCAGGGTCTGTTTGCTATTATACCTAGTCTGTTTGTTGAGGATAGGGAGACTGGAAAGGTGGAAGATGGGTGATGGTTTTTGGTTTCTGGGTTGGTATACATACATACATACATACATACATACATCGTTGTGTCTTGTCGTATCTTGGTTTGTTTTGAAGTTGAGGGTCATCGTTGATTATGGATCGGTGGGGAGGGGATATTCTTGGTTGGAACAGCGTCCACCAACAGTGGAGCAGGTTGCATGTATAAGCTCGGCAGGGACATTTAGTTATTGGTCTAATGATTTGTCAAGGAGATTTGGCCATCTCAATGGGAAGACCTGCGTACCCCAATGTGATTCGTTGTTTCTCAGCATGCTGTTTACATGCTCGTCTACTGGTGGAAACTTATACTACATGGCTAGCTCCCAAAACCGAAGGGTGGGTTCTGAAATGGGGAGGTAAGAAGGTTTATCTTATGTGACTTGTACTTAGGAATCACTGTGTACGATTCTAGTAGCCTCATGCTAGGTAGGATTATGCAATCCGCAGATGTTTACTCGATTTGGTTTTGGTCGTTGGGATATAGCCGAAGGAGCAAGATGCAGTCATACAGATATCTTGGCCTTGTTCATTCGCTTGAATGTAGGTAAAGAGTTGCGGAATATAGTTTCGTCCTTTCTAGTTCCTTGCAATGGAAAAAAGAAGTAGATGTAGTAAAATTAATTCCAATCTCTAGTATTCTAGCGCTATGCTATTACTATTGTATATCAATGCAACCAAGTAAGAAATCATACTCCATACACCCGAGCCTGAAGAAAACAATCTTGCAAACACAGCGCCATACCGATGCCCATGAATGCTTATGCAATGGATTAGTCAATTGATTATATCAATGGCCCCGGCTGATCAAATAATTAACTAAGAGACACGTTTTGTACGGCCTCTTCCACGCTGACGGTCATATTCTCGTGGTGCTTTTCATTCGGAACTTCAGCGAGCGCGGCGTGTCCATCGTGTCCGTCTTGACTTGGGGTTGGGGATTCTGTTTGGGATGGTCTGCGCCGACCCGATCGACGGGTCTTGGGTGGTTCGGGCTTCTGGCCGTGCTTTTGGGCGGAGTTGCTGTTCTGTTGGATTTGGAGTCGGGACGGACTCGTGACTGGGGTACAGTGGCTGGAGACATGATGAGGGTGGACTACTGGAGGGTAGAGCGTCTCGGCGGGGGAACAGCTGGGGGTGGGTTTGAGGCGGAGCGACGGCCTTGGGCTGGGATGGGAGGGACAAGGCCGGATGTGGTTGTTGAACCCCTTCTGTCGGAGGGTTCTTGTGGGATAGATGGTGTTGAGGGTGTGACGGGACTTGGACTTGCGCTTGTTCCGGGTCCTATTCCTGGCTCTTCGGGGATCTTGTCGTTTTCGTCTCCAGTGGTGCGTCGTCCACGCCAGCGTCTTGACTTCGGTGGTAGTGGTTTGATCTTTGGTTTGTTGGGGCTGGATGGGCGGTCCGTTGTCGCTATTTGAGTCCGATTGCGGCTCGGCGTTAGGACGCCTGGCTTCTCGTGCTGTGCGGCTACTTCTTGTACGCTCAGGGAGGACGACGATGCAGGTTCCAAGTGCATGCCCAAGCGTTGCGCTTGGTTGACTACTTCTGTTTTGGGCGATCCATCGAGATTGGTCGGAGACAGAGCCACAGGGGAGCTTCCAACCGTGCTTGTGGGAGAAATGGGCTGTGACGTCGTTGGCTCCAAAGGTGTACCTATCTCAGCCTCCGGATGACAGCCATCTGGGATTGCAGGACAAGGTGTAGTAGTATCTACCTCGAGCTCTTTAGGAGATTGAGCGTCTGGCTCTTCATCTCGCAGCCAGTCCACCGTAGCACATCGAATGACGAGTCTTCTTGTCGTTTCGTCGACCTCGTCGAAATGCATGATTTTACCCTGGTCGATCTCGTTGCTAGAAAGCTGACCTCGGACGAGGATGCTGAGCATTCTTTTCAGTTCTTCTCGCTTGTAGTGTGGCGGCGTCTTCAATTGGGTATGGGCTAGCAATGGGTAGAGAACGCGCAGGTAAGTGTGCCGTAAAGCAGAAGCCTCTTCGGGCAGGTCCAGAAGATTTCGGATTAAGATATCGACCAGCACATGGAGGTCATTCGTGTAGAAGTACTCAAAGGTCGTGGGCGTTGTGAATATCAGGTACAGTAGCTTTAGGGTGAGAAGCTGAAGCGACGTTTCGGCTGTCTTTGTTAATACCACTCCGCATACAGCGAAAGTCTGGAATGATACCACCTACCTTCTCGATTTATAAGAAGGATAATGTTCTCGCCAAACGTCTTATAGAGATTACCATGCATTGACAAGATTTTGATAACTTTGTTTGTCAATGGAGTCGAGCTCTTCTCGTCCACGGGATCGTGTGCTGAGATCATAAATTGTTCGTTCAGAACCAACTGCTAGTGATGAGCATGAATGATCCTTCGAACAATAGCACCAAGCATGCCCGGGGTCCACTCACCAAAACTCGAATTACTGTATAATGGTATGGGTCACTCGAATCGTAGGAGAGCTCTTCAATGATATCAAAGAGGCTTTTAATGCATTCATCATCCACGAGAACTGCGGTATCAAGATAGTTAGTTTACACACCCCCTTCTTTGGATGGTGGGTCCAGCTGGTGAAAGCCTCTCAACACGAACAGGGACTACTCACCCAGATCCTCCATCTTGATTCTTTGGATTCTTGACATCTCATAGATTAAGTCCATAAAAAGTCGATCAAGCCCCGCTCCATCGCCCTCGACCTCTCTCTTCCTGTTTTGCACTTGAAGGAGCTCTAACAAACGTGGGAATGCACCCTCTTCGTTCATCATTTGTAGTGCGACTTCATTCTGCCGACCGTCAAACAGAAGAAACGACGAAATTAGGTAAAGTGTATCCGGATCATCGTCCTATGCAATCTACCGTTAACGACTGGTCTCGAATGGGCACGGCTGGGATGACCATGACAAGATCATACCTGCAATAAACCGTAGATCATTTGTCTCCGAACGTAACCCGCATGTGAGGCGAAAATTTTCGATGAAAGCAGCTTGTACGAGCATCTCGTGACCTCTAATTCAGTCTGGAGGTATTCATCTGTTATCGTCCAGATGCTATCTTATCAGCCCATGTCCAGTTCCCTATTACCTCCTCTGATGACGCAACCGCACAAGGATTTCAATAATTCGGATGAAAGAAATAGAATATCGGACCTTTGTATTTCGTTGCCAGATTCAGATAAGATCGCAGAGCATTGTCAATGACGTCTTCGGAGGAGCAAAGGGCGGATACAATCTCTTGAATCTCTGTCATAAGAACACGTCGCATATGTCAGTCATTTTACCCCGAGTGATTGTAGAGTGTAGATGGGCATGGGATATGGTGAACAGCCCAAATGTCTCTCTGAGAAAGAGTTGAATCCAGATAGGTACTTTGGCGCAAGGCAGAGCGCAGATCCCTATGAAATCACTTACCATCCCAGAACTGTTGTTCATTTTCCAATGAGACCTCAAACTCCATTTCCCACGGCTCGCTCGTCGTCGTCGGGTGTGTCGTGACTCTGCACTCATCCCGTCTTTGCGCCCGTCGCGAATGCCTGTGGGCTCCGTGGGGGGAGGAACAAAGGGTAGCGAATTGACTGGGGTTTATGACGTTGGTGCTTGAGGATGAAAGGTGAGTTGAGTGTGGCCAACTTTTGGAACTAAAGGCGGGCGGCGGGGGCCTTGCGGCGATCCCTCCGCATGGCCTAAGGCTTTCGTTTTCCCTTCGGAATGCACTTCAATCCCGGACTTGGGCACCGGTTGACGTTTTCGCTGCAATCTGAGCCCTACTAGTAGAATCCGTCTACTTCGTCTACTACACTAGACATTACTCAACTGCTGGCGTTTCAAGATTAGAAACCCTCTTCTTCAAGATGTATAGCCTATATACTCATGGACTGGCTCCTTGGTATCACAGTACACTTTTTACATGGAGAATAACAGGAATTAAGCATAACATAAGATAAACGAACTAATATACGGGGCGCTTGAAAGGATGCGCTTCAGTGTTCCTGCAATGACCAGTTTTGTTAGCATCATTATCCATAAGGCAGAACACCCCGAAGCACTTACAGAACATATTCGTCTAGATCTACCACGTTCGGCTCACTGAAGAGTAGATAGAAGTATTTCAATGTCTCGGCGAGCCAAAACGACTGCATCTCATCGGATTTTGTTGGTTTTTCGACGGTGACGTCCTTGATCGTGGCATGCGCTATGTCCGTCCGAGTATACTTGGCAATGGCTTCAAACATCTTCCAACCCTTCTCGCGCCAGTGTTCCTCACCAGTGAGGCGGTACATGATGAAGACGGACTCAATGGCTTCGGGACGAAGCAGATAGATGCGAGAGTTAATGCGGACCACACCCGGCGGAAGATGCTCGTTCCGGATCCGCGACAAAGCAAATTCTTCGTGAGACGGCGTTGAATCTGTCGAAGATCCTTTAGGGCCCCGTCCCTCTACGTCGCTGAGATCACTAGGTTTAGGAGTATGGGTAGGGCTGGCAATAACGTGCCAATTGCCTCGCTCGGGGTCACGCTTCTCGCGAAGAGATCTTGGAGTGGGAGACGTCCCGTTGGTCTGGATTCCTCTCATTTCATCCTTCTTTTCCTCCGTCTTCGCGATAAGCTCTTTCTGGTTCCTACCCTTAGCAAGGCGTTGCTCCTCGTTAGGATCCAAAGCCTTCCAATACTTAGCCTCGTCCCACACACACGGTTCATTGTCTTTGCAGGGTATCATCTGAAATTGTTCTGGCATGATACCGGTCTTCGTAGACTCATACGCCCATACACATCCATCCGTCAATTTAGCTGCGAGTTTAAGATCACTGTCAATTCCGAACAATTTGGATCCAATGGCAAACATGCCGCCAGCGAAGCAGGTCAGATGTGCCCCCTCATACTGATAGACGAATTCGGCGTCCGGTCGGGGTTTGGTGACGGTAGCTAAAAAGCGGACGTCACGGTCGTCTTTGATCATGGGCCGGAAGAGGAGATGCTTTCGCGCCGCATCCGCGGTCTTCTCATACATTGTGCGATACTGATCGTTGAGACCGCCTAAAAGCATATACTCCTTAGGAAGGTATTCATATGTCGAATCCCCGGGGGCCGCGAGCCCAAATTGGTGGGAACCCGGCGCATTGGTAAGCCCCCCTTTGCAGTACTCCGCAGTCTCTCCAGTTGAAGTCGGAATTTCATGCGCCTTGGGAGCTGGGATCTGGGGGTTTGTGTCGTAGATGGCTGGTTGTGCGTCTTCATGGAGCTGGCGTGCGTCCAAAAGAATTCTGTAACTTTCCGCGTCAGTCGGGTAAGAGATCGGGCTTTCAGCAGCTGTAGGGGCAGCCGTAGGAATGGAAGAGTTCCGTGGTAAATCACGCGGGGCCTCGTGGCCAGTTCGGGATTGAGAAACTGTACATCCAGAAGCATCGACTTTCATCGGCCACAGACCCGGCATGCTAGTTTGGCTTTGGAATTTCTCTAACTCATTCGTGATCCGTGCAATTGCATCATAGTACTTGTCATCCCTGGTCAATTGCGCCAAGCGTGTGAATTCTACCGAAAGAGAGCCCAGTTCGGCAAGAACGGACATGACACTAGCACGATGAGGATTTGATGCATCTCCCCTGGTAAAGTCGTTAGCCCAGAGCTACAAAGATATCAGGTCCATACGGTAACACTTACGGCTTCCACTTGTAAAAGAGCATTGGCATCCGGTTGGGCGTGTCAAAGGCGCCCATCAAGACTTCCGCCAATTCGACTGCTTTCTCCAGAAGTAATTCATACTTATGTCCCGAGATATCGTAGGCACCCAGTAAACCACCGAGATATCGGATTGCCGTTTCAAAAACTGGAATCTCGCTCTTCTTGTTTGTCGTAAAGTCTATTTTCTTCACATGATCGACAGCGATAGAGAATTCCTGCTCCAAGCCCATGATCCAAAGGGTGTCCAACGTGTCAACGAGTGTTGCGCCCCACCCATTGAAAGGATCTCGAAATCCACCGCGGAGCGGCATGACCTCGTCGTGACCCATGGCATTCATCTTGTAACCGTTCCATGCATGTTCGAATGTCGCCTTGATGGTGGATAGTCTGTTTAGCCGTTTGATCTTATCTTCAGATGCTTCATCGGAGAATTTAGCCTGCAGTTTTGGTAGCGACTTCGATTTGCCGGTCGGTAATTTGATCAAATCTGCGGGTGTGACAGGATATCGCTCCGGCAATTTCTTCCAATGAGGCACCGGTAGATCCTCGAGCCGGTCCGAATCTAGTGTACCCTGACTCTGTGAGCCAGAGTTGTTTGGGAAATGAGGCCCATCCTCCTTAGTCTGCGGTTCGTCTGACGGTTTGGGGCGTTCAGGAGTCGATAAACCGTTGTCTGAGTGGGGAGACTGCGAAGGGACCTTTTCGTCTGAAGTACTGGGATCAGTCGAGCCCTTCGGTAGAGGCGTTGGTAGAGGGGTCTCTGGTGCAGGTCCTTTGTTGTCCACTGCGGGTGGACTTTGAGGGTAAGAGCCTGGCCGATCGACAGGTGGAGGAACACCCAGTGTCACTGTAGGGAGCTGGCGAGATCGACCAAAATGAATGACAGCCAAGACGAATACAGCTGCAAATATTAGCAGAGCTCGGTATCGCCGGGCTCGAAACATGGTAGGCGACGTTGCTGTAAAAAGAGAGGACCGGAGATATAAAAAGTGATCCAAGAAAGGATTTAAAAGTAGGAACGAAGGACGAAGAGCAACATGAAAAAAATCCACCAAAAGGGTCAGGAAAAATGAAAGGAACTGTCGTGAGAGTCGAGTTCAGGAGACGAGAAAGAGACTGGAAGCTCAAGTAAACAACGAAAAGGAATGATCGCAAATTGGATCAATCAAGTGGGAAGCGCTTTCTTTGGATAGATCATCATAAAGATAGGTACTTTACTCTCCTACCTATGGGAAATGAGTATTAGTGATTGAGAAAGGGAACTATTAGAATTTTCCCCCCAATTGCCCGGCTGAAGAAAAGAAGACCGAACAGAATGTTTGAACCAACAGGAGAAAAGGCCAAGAGACAAGTCCCTCGGGCGGGGATCGAAATTTGATTGTCAGTCACATTACTACCAACTCAGGTCTTGGAGGGGAAGCAAAGAAATGGTAAAGATCAGCATTCGCTTGATGTATTAATGAATTCGGTAGTCCCATCGAGAGCCACATTTCTCTGCTTAATTGTATGGATCAGATGCGCTTTTATGGATGATATCGGCACCGAGGAATTTATCCCCCGGATCAGCGACCGAAGGATCAGCACCCGATGCGTTCCAGACTCTTCAGGTCAAGTAGTCCCTGCTCGTGAACATGGTGACCGTTCACCTTGGGAGACTCATTTTTGAAAATACTTGAAACAATATAGCTGTCCCAATTCTAAAATTGGTGGAAGTATAAGCAATCCCTAACGACGGAGGACTAGAATTCGAATATTATAACAATGAAAGGGTCTTGCCGGACCCTGCAGGGTTCAGTGTTTCTAAAAATAACCCGTGACCAAGGGGCAGACCTTATGTAATCAGCCCGTACCTGATCCGTTCTATAGTAAACTCTAGGCTGATCTGGTGACAAGATAAATTCACATAAG